AAAATAAAAATAAACTTTGGTAAGCCCTGCAAGTCTTCCAAAAAATGGTTGAGGTATTAAGAACAATATTTACAATGTAAAAGGTCACAAGACGCAGAACACGTGCATACAGAATCGCCATAACAATAGTACATTGCAATATAATATTATGTACCATGCACCCAGAAGAATTATTATTGTAATACATGTTTTTTTAGTTATTAACTATTTTTTACTTGTTTGCTGTTGATTACAAAATGTTTTTGTTTATTATTCAATAGTGTTCGGTCGGATGGTATAATATTCATGTTCTATTCATGTGAATGTAAAAATTAACAATATTCCTTTTAGTTCATAATAATATTATGTAACGCGATTAAAACAGTATACCGTGAAATTTGTGTAACAGAGTGGGAAGTCAATCGGTGAATTTTTAATCTAATTAACGTTTGAACGAACCAAATGAAATTGTTTAGTTGATAATATTTGGTAAAACTGGTAAAAAAACGGTATCGTTCGCAAACGTTTGATTAAATGTAGCCGCTAAATAACAACAATTTGACCTTAAACCACTCATTTAGAGCATTTAATTAGTATCATTAATATTTAAGAGTAACATCAATTATTATCTAAACGGTCAATATTTTAAACATTAATCAAAGAAATAAATTAATAAGCAACATCACCGTTGGACATAAATAAAATATATTTTATTTTTAAAATTACGTTTCAGTGAAATGATTATTAAAAGTCATGTTAAATATTATTATAAAATACAATTTATATTAGCCGAGCTTACATTCTGCAACAACCTGGTCGGCTGAATGATGGGCGGTTAGGGTAATTATGATTTATGGTCGACTTGAGAAACCTGACCTCTCCAACGAGAAGTTTCTGGCCATACTAAAACGAATAATGAATCTATGCCTAATTAACCCATCCAACTAGGTAATATAATAACAGTTATCAGGTATAATTTAACTTAAATTTTTTAAGAACTCTTGAACTACAAAAATGGAGGAGAACCCTATTAAAATGTAATTTGCTTATAACCAGAGATGAGCATTTTGTATTTTTTAGTGTTATACATATTTTAATTGAGAACCCTTTGAAAAGCCGTCGTTTGAACGGCCAAATTACTTTTTTTGTACTTCGAGTCACCCGTTGTCACTCTGAAGATCTTAATCTTAAGGCGATTGAAAAGGGTTTGTTTTTAAGTTTTGTATTACAAAGCCTGACAAAATGTTGACAGCTTAGGATCCGGGTGGCCCGATTTCGATTATGTAAAGAGTTCTTTATTGCTACTTTACTAGGTTATACTGGAAACGGATTTTTTAACGTTTTAATTTTCTCATGTAAACAGTTTTAGTATTGAATACTTTAAATTCAGTTTATTCACAATTTTCTACACAGCGCAAGCATTTTTTACCACCGAAATGGCTTTCACTCGAAGAAAAAAATGTATTCCTTAAAAATAACACCCGCCGAAGCTTATACGAGTTGACCAGAAAACTATGGTTGGAAACGGACTAACTAAAACTAATTTTTTCTCGAGTATTGCCTTTATGAAACTCCACATGTTGGGTGTTTAGGAGGAGGTTATCTATTGTTATTTTTTTTTTTTTTTGCTAACCGTGTACAGTCTAAAGGTGATCAAAGTCGCGCGACGAAGGTAAAATTTAATTTCGAGTTTGGCGTAATAGTTTGGTTTTTGTTTTCATTGCAGAGTTTGTCTCCATTACAATGCAAGAGGGGGGGGGGGAGGGGTGGAGGATTGTTCCAAAATTATTTCAAAGGGGTGTTAATCGGGCGAAATTCTGATGATCGAACCCCGGCGTACATCCTAACCGGACTTTTGTACTCGGTATAGGCAAGAGGAGGGGGGGGGAACGTGGTGTTTTTATCGTTTGTTTTCGTTAAAAGGCCAGTCAGCTGTGCTCGCGGTGGTGCGGTTATTGCCCGCATTGGCTGGCAACCGCGGCAGCAACGGCGGCGGATCGATGACGGGGGCACACGCGCGCTGCTCCCCTGTAGAATTGGGTCACACACAACAAACGCGGCCAAGGCACAAGGGACGAGGGCGAAAGAGCCCGGTTTTGCACCCCCCCCCCCCCCAAATAGGACACATCCGCTCGATTCGGTCGGTTAAGACTGCGATACGACGGACACTGCTCTGACGGTTAGGAAATTTCTCGAAAAATTGGCCTAGAAGAGGATAGAATCTTAATTGAGATCTTCCAGGATTGATGGTAACAATTTTCGAAATATTGCAAGACGTAGTAAAATATGTACCTAAAAATTAGTGTCTTCTGTCAGTGGATCACCCTGTATACTACTCGTACACTTGTCAATACTTGTAATTGGGGTATTGTTTTATTAGCTTCGGTGCGGAGCCGAGAAGGTGTTGTTCAACTTAAAATAACGGTGCTCAAAAAATTGTTTTAGAAACGGTCAAATTTGGTGTCGACATTTCTCGAGCAAATACAACTATCATAACACCTTCCACCTGGGAGAGGTTAGGACACAAATGAGAGGGAGCTTATTAAATTAAAAAAATGATTTAAAGGTTGCAAACATAAATTCTAACCGATTGGTTTAAATATTATTTTTAACTAACGTTTGTTAGGGCACAGCACATACATAATATGGAACATCCCATAAAATGTAAACCTCAATTTCACTATTTATCACTACGTTGTACTAAAACATTTTATTTCCCATCCCCAAATACGGGCCTGTATGAAATAATTGTACAATCACAATCGTGTACATTAATTATCATAAATCATGACAGCTTTCGAAAACAAATGAAATACCGTAATTAGATAAAAAAAAAAAAGTGTTTAAAAAAACGTCATGTTAATATAATAACACAATAATATGTTTAAACAAAACCGATATTTCATCTGGAAAACTAATTTATCGTTTGAGTTTCCTATCAATAGTTTGGAAAAACATTTGATTAAACACAATAAATTAGTGGCATCTGGAGAGGCGGAAGACACTGTTTTAGAATAAGTATTAAATTGGAATATTATATTTATAAGAAAAAAAAAACTGGTTACAATAAATTATATTACTATTTTGTTTTCCTACAATACAAAAAATAGTCATATATCATATGAACGAATAAATTCAGTCATGGAGAAGAGACGTTACATCCTTTATCCCCTTTAAACCCTATCACAGCTAGTCTACCGTCGAGTTTTCTCTGATTCGGTTTTTCCTTGAATTGTATCTTTGTCTTGGATTTAGATAAATAGGTTTTCGGTAAAAGGATTTAGTGTTTTTTTTTTTTTACTCAACTCTTTGAATATTTAAACGGTCTGAAAGCCTTCAACTTAATGCTTTTGTCATTTTTATGCTTTTTGATAGTTTCTATTTTAGACGGTTTCCTAGGTTTTTTTACCTATATTACATTCAGTGTTGTCATTCAGCATTATATAAACTGATTAGGCATGCAGAAAAGAAAGAGTGGCAGGCAGGATGCAACCGTTAGGATGACAGTTGTCAGCAGGTGGATTTTACCAAGGAAACAAATTAATTGGCCTAGCTTAGTTGTGATTTTCTCCTCTTAAGTTGGTCTACAGATTTTCGAGAAATTGTACAATATGTTTAGCCCCATTGTATCTTCGGTTTAACTTGCATGCCTTAAGCTCTAAAACTATACATAAAAGAGCGAAATAAATAAAAAGTTTTCATATTTTCTGGGGAAAAGGGTTTTTGATATTTTTTTTTTGTCAACTTTTATTGATACTAATATTGAACTATTAAAAAATAAAAAATAAATTATAGCACGCTGTAAATATGTGATGGTTTTTTTTTAGTGTATTTCTCGATTTTGAAGGAGGAAGGAGTGAGCTTTTTGAACTTTTGGCCTAATAATGTACCTTTTGTGTACTTATTCTGTTCTACAGATTTTCTGCATGACAAAATCTGTTCAGCCGTTTAGAAAATACCGAAGGTTCAGGTACAAAAAAAAAAATAAATAAATAAAAATAATTCCTTTTCATCTCTACACCAAAGCTAAAACCGAAAAAAAGCGCATGGTAAAAATAATGAGCAGGTACACATTTTGTAATAGACATGAAATTGCCGCAAAAAGTCTTAAGCTTTTTTTTTTTTTAGCTTAGATTCATATTGGATAAAAAGGGCAAGGTTTAGGTTAGGTTAGGTTAGATTTGGATTAGAAAGACTAGGTTGATGTTAGACTTGGATTAGTTAGGTTCTAACTATTAAATTGTTGATAGCTGTTACGGAATGATTTTTTTTTTTTATCATCAGATAAATATATAATTACAATCTGTACACAATGCACATGAAGCTAATATGTAACGAAAGTCGTGTACATGATATAGAAATTATCGTTTATAAGCAGACACCTAACCCGGCTAGGCAATTATCAATTCTTTTTTTTTTTAGTATCAATTTAGATAGAAATTTTTCAGTTACAGACAAGACGAGGTGTAGACCAAAGCATGGCCTATGCGTAAACATACCGCGTTCAAAGTGGGAGGGGGCGGGTGGGGGTGGTGGGCTTTAAGGGGGAGAGGTGGCGGCAGTTAGGCGCAAAGGGTCGAGTTTTGTATTGCCATCATCCGCCCGCGGACCATAACAATATAGTGTCGTCGAACACTCAAACAACGTCTACGGCAAAGAAGAAGAAGATCAAGAGGCGTTTTACACACAGAGCCCCACGGCTCTCGGCCGACACAATACACGTGTAGGTGGTGGTTGGCGAGTACATTATAATGGTTTGTTCGCCGTAGACGTGTGGTGTGTGTGTGTGTGTTGTGTGTGTGTGTGTGTGTTCGTATTAATTTACACGTCGGGCAAACAAATAACGTTGTACGCGGTTATTAGACGACGGCGGTGGTTTGTACACACAAGACGAGTGTGTGATGGATTCGGTATTGCTTACAACACACGGCGACCCCGCCGTGCGCACCTCCCAGCACCGGCGGCAGCGGCAGCGGCAGCAGCTGACTCCCCGCGCGCGCACAAAGCTGTGTGTGTGTGTGTTATAGTTGCCTCGCGCGCGCACACACGCTTGGCTCAGTCGTTCCACGGTCGTTCACTGTCGCCGATCGCCTGTCTCTGTCACCGGCACCGCGAGCCATCAGTCCAGCCGAACAGCCAGCGCTTTTGGAAATTTCTATCTGGAAAAAAACCCCCCCAAAAACGTAAGTAGTCCGACGACATTTTCATCATATACACATATATATATATATATACGGGTAACTCGAACGAGTTGTGAATAAATTAACACATTTAAAAATCATTCGAATAACGTTTTTTTATTAGAGTATAATAATTTGCACGACAAAAATGACAATACCGACAATGTTATTGTGTACTAAAATTAGCGGTTAAAAGTTACTGGTTTCGCTAACTATTAAATATACTCGTTGAAACGATTAAAACGCAACCCTCGTTAATCCCCGTACAATATATTTTACACTATATTCTAACGTGAATATTATTAGTTTAAAAAAATGTATACATTTTTATTTTGTATTTTTTAAGTAATATGCACTATATTTACATGAAATTGTGTTTTAGACAACAAATTGCTTGCACTTGCAAATTATTTGAATAACACGTTTGAATTGGTTTCGAATTAATTTCACTCGGATAATGTAGTGTTCAGATGATTATTCGGCTAAAGTCATAATATTGAATAACGCACAGCTCTGACTACAAACCAGTTAACATTTCATAAGATTTTGGACTTTTAAAAAAGGTTCATTTTTTTTTACTTTTATAGTTAACAGTTTGCCCAATTTTTTTTTTTTTTTTCAAAAATATAACTCCATCCCTCGTGTATTAAAACTTTATTACCCTATTAAGAATAATTTGCTGACAATTTTGACCGGGCGATAACCGGTTTTGGATATTTGCTATTTAAGTTATGATTTGGATAGTTACTATTAAGTTTAACTATTTATGTTTGGCCAAACTATTCTTAATTTAAAAAATTGACACAATATGTACGTTACCTTTTAAAAATCTTAAGTTCATGTAGTTAAATGGAGTCAATTAAAATATTTTACGGTTGGCTTTTTCAATTTAAAACATAATCCTGTGTCGCCGGGTCTGTAACGTTTTAGTCTGAATCAACGGGGCGCATTAAGAATCATAAGTTTTTACTTAGATGAGTCGTCTTTTATTAAATCCCAAAATAATTGTTACGGTTTTATGTATACATAAGTCTGTTTAGTTTTAATTGAACGCAAACATTTCAACATTGGTTCTGCGATCAACTTGTAAAATAAAATATTATTTTGTGTAGAATTAGGTCACATTTGACTGACAATCGATATGCATTTATGCCATAAGCCATTGAACGCTTAAGCGGTTGGGTGTAGCTTTGACTATACAGGGTGATTCATACCAGATCTTAAAATAATAATTGAAATTTCTAGATAACTTCAAATCTAAACCGGGTTATCGACCGGTCAACATTTCCGGCAAATTAATTTTTGACTTGAACATTTTAATATTGTCTAAAATCGTAAAAAATAAGCTAAATTAAGAGGTGTGCCCAAAAAGAAATTGCAACGGTTTTAAGAGAAAATATAGTGTCTTATGAATAAACTGTATATTGGCATCAGAATCAACGATCCACAAGTATCTAGTAAGACTTAAGGTAGGGTTAACCGATTAATCTGTACGACCCAAGTTCCATAATAGACCGGTCCGTACAAAATATACAAAAGGTCAGTCGTCGCTTGTCTGTACCTATTCGCCGGTCGAGCACATAACACAATGTTGTCTATGCACAAAAATAACTGACATAACTGTAAAACTGCTATCACTTTTCAACAAAGCGGTAGGTATGACTAATTTCTAAAGTTGTGTGTGCCGCTATCGACCATATACAATGTAATTATTCGACTTAAGTCAACGTATTGTTTATAAAAGTACACATTTGAATCGACATTTTTTTTGTCGTCCGATTCTCAAAAACTGTGATTTTTTATAACGATTAGACTTTTTTGGGTTTTTTTGATGGTATCCCAAAAAAAAAAATACATGTTTTTCGAGTTGTGTCACTTGACTCTTGATCGCGGATATCCTCGTTCCGGTTCTTGGCCCGGTTCAATAGCTTTAACCCGTACCTGTGTCGTGCTGTTTTTATGTATGCAATCAGACGGCTTGTTAAACGATTTTCTCCTAACAGTTTCCCGCGTTTCACATCTCATTGCCGGATCATTTGGTGCGATTTTTATAATAAATAATAATTTCATACCGGCTGTGAAGTCAACCTCGGATGGTACGGCTGTTTTTATGGCGTTTTTCTTACCGTTGAATATGCTTTTGCAGTGATCAGCTTGCCGAAAAGTGATACAAAATTAAAAAAATTAGGATAGTGTTGGGTTCGTTTGAATAAGATTTTGATTAGATAAGTAAGGTTAGGTTAGGGTTAGGTTAGGTTAGATTTAGGTTACATAGGTAAGGTTAGGTCAGATTTAGGTTAGATTTGGATTAGATTAGTAAGGATAGGTTGGATTTGGAGTAGATATAGGTTAGGTTAGGTTAGGCTGTATTTGGATTAGTTAGGTTTTAACTATTGAACGATTAATGGCTGTTATAGTATCAATTGAGATGGTCGTTTTTAAATAATTATTTCACAATTTATTCGAATAAAAAATTGTCTTCCTATATTTGCTACTGGTTTTATATATTTTATTAATGCGGTATATTATATTGGATTTATGAGAAATAATAATTCAAAGTATTATTATACTTGAAAAAAGCACTTACAACTACATTTAAATAATATTTTTACAAATCATCCGAAGACATTGTGAAGTACATATTCGGATAACGTTTTATTCGAATAAGTTGTTGATTAATTATTCAAATAACGTTTTATTCGAATGATGCACAACTGTGAAAGTGGGTAGACACGTGCAGAAGCATATTCGAAGTCTTACAAACTCCTCTCGAAGTGCGAAGATGATAAAGAAGGACCCCTCCTCACATTTCTGTTTTGGCTACTTGCAATTTTGGGCTCGGCAAGACGAACGCTTAGAGCCCCCTGGGTGCGAGGCGGCTCAATGGGGCTCGAGGATATTGTACGAACCACAAGGTTGTTATAGTGTTACGATAATAGGTGATTAATATTAGTATTATTATCATTATTGTTATTACTATTATTCGTGCCCTACTAAACGGCCCCATTCGCCACCGGTAGCAGTTAAACGGCAGGGTGAACCATAGTTTGGTCGCGCCATTGATTTTACGTTATGCAGATAAGCCATCCGCTATTGGTAGCCGTGCATTAGACAGGGGAAGGGTAGTCACCGCCCGCATTGACTAGCGCTCCAGGGTGGATATCGTCCCTGGATAAATCTTAATATTTTCAAGACATAACCAGAACAGCGGGTAGTTCACTAATAAATAAGTTCTGTCCATTTAAACTTCAAAAAAGAGTCCTTGAGAACTCTACCCACCCGTTTTAAGGTATGGACAATTTTTCGCTTAAATACATGTTGTTATGGCAATGTGGATTCTTTGTGATTGATTGTGGACGTTCCGCCGTCATAGAAAAAATTGAAAAATGTTTACTACTGAAAAGTCATACATTTTTCACAATAAACAGAGGAGAACTTAATCTTTTTACTTTTAAACCCGACACTCCGTGTGCCAAGTTCAACGCCTTAACCACTGTCGCACATGACTTCACTAATTAACAGTGGATAATTAACTTGGAAGATTTACGGACAGTTCAGTGCCGTAGCTGTGTAGGCAATTAATTTCGACTGCCGCCTAATGTGGTAACAAATTAACGAGGTAATTAAAAAGACAACTAATAGTATTATACCTTTGCATAATATTATGATTAAACCGAATATGTAAAAAAACCATGCGAATTTACATAATTAACAATATTTTTATTCTAAACGTGACCGATCTGCGTTCTTTGGCCGTCGGGCCTTCTCTTGCTAATCAACGCAAACAAATATTAATATTATAATAATAATTTTACTGAAAGCCTGTAAACGGGTCGATCTGGTACAATAAGCACAGGTGGTATAAGTGTTGAAGAAAAGGGAAGTTCACTTGAAGTAATCTAACGTCTTAATGTTCTCGAGTTTGGTTAGGTTGGGAAATCTCTCGGCTAATTGCGTTTGAGTCTTCTTGGAAGGGTTTTCGGTTGGATTAGACACTTTGATTTGAATGTTGACAAGCAAATTGGTTCAGAATACTATTTGAATTTAAACTGGTATATTTTATCTAATAAAACGACACGGTGCTATTTTCGCGCGTCGCTTACTTGACAAAACGGTCTCCCAATTTAACTCTATTAGTTTTTTTTTTTAGTATTATGGTTATTTTTTTAACGCGTGCGCGTTGTCTCCACGTGGTCGTTGCACAATAATATTATATATTATTCAAGAGCCTCGTCGAGTCAGCAGTCCTAATGGCGAAAATGTAAACAACAAACGGTCGGTAGTAAAAAATTCATATTCCCGGGACAAGCGTTATGGGCTTTCTTAAAATTTTTTCTGCGCACAAAACTGCAGTTTAAAGCATGTAATATGCTTTAAACTCGAGGTCGAGGCTTTAGGTTCGAGCCTACGCGTTTGACCTGCATAGTGCATAATAGTATCGAGTGGGCAATAATCTGATAACATTTACCTACCTATTCTCCAATAATACTTTCTCGGTTGAGTATTACTGTGTGACAACAATAATAACGGCCATTCGTGTTGTAGCTGCTATTGCCAAAGTGACTTTTTTGTGTTATTGCCAGAGTTGTGCTTCAGTCGAATAAAACCCTATTTAATCAATCATCTGCATAACGCATTATTCAGGTAAAATTTTTGTTCGAATTAATATCAAGAATATTTTTATTGCACTTACCCGTTTAACTTTTTTAAATAATGTTTCTATTTTTACAAAAAAAAATCAAGATGGCCATATAGTAAGCGCCTAGAGCTATTTTTATCTGCACGCATTACCCTATCGCACTCCACCGACCACCACCCATCCTATCTTTTAAAACCTTTAGTAACTTAAAAAGTAATTATCCAAATCTGCTTATTGACCAGTCAACATTTTCAGCAAATTATTCTCAACAAATAAGCTATCTAGAATTTTTTTTAAAAATGTAACAAAAAAAAAATCATTCAAAAAAGTAAAATAGCTAAGTGCAATAAAAAACGTGGTTAAA